AAGAACGACGGTTTCTGTACAACAACGAAAAATACACGAATCCGAGTACGTGTGTGTGTGTGTGTCGGTTTGGTGGACGTGGCTGGTGTGCGCGCGCCATAAATAACAAAGGAGAGAAAATGTACAAGTTCGGAAACACAGCGTGTGTGTGTGTGAGTATCGATGTGTGGCTGCGTCAGCTAAGAGGCGATAAGATATTGATCGCCTTTATAATTGACATGTAAACGTGGTAAATTATATACGTATATAATTATATATTAATATAATATATATATTATATTTATTATTATATAATATTATTATATATATAATATATATATTATTATTAATATATATATATATATATATATATTATATAATATTATATTAATATATAATGTATTATATTATACATGATACATTATATTAATTATACAAATATATTATATATATATTCGTATGTATATAGATAGATGGATAAATATATATGGTAAAAAACGTCAAATTCCATTAAATCATCTACGACACAATAGCGTGAGGCGACAGTATATGGTGTAGTTTTACGATTACGAGCAGCACGATGCTACACGGGCTTCGCTTTTCATAGCTGCGATCGTTTCGCTCGGTTTGTTTTGCACAGAGCAGGCAGCCAATTGGGTTTCATGGCTAATAGAATTTTGTTCCGCTGCGCCGTCAAAGGCTCCGTCAATATGTTTCAGTCGATCCCTCTCTAATGGCGGTGCCCCGTCCCACCTCGATTTATGACGACTGGAATTACAACGTTCCGCCTGGATTCCGCGAATCCAAAATTCCGTTTCCGCGCGACTTCCGGGAACTCGGAACGGGTCCTGGTCGTGTTCTATCGGTGTTCCGACAGGTTTCGGTAACCTCGCGAATTTCATCGAGTTCGATTCGGTTCGCCGAAAATCGGAGATATTCTTTCTCCGCGCGAAAGTTGAAATCTTGAATCTTCCAACGTTTGGAATTCACGATAGATTCACGGAACCCGCGGAGATGACGGATCACTAATTTTCCAATTTACGATTGTTCGTGAGTTCGCGATCGGTTCTGAGTTATTTGTTCAATTTTATGTGTTACTTAAACGGAAAAACGTTACAATAACGCTTGTTAACCCTTCGCGCTCGAAGCCATTTTAACTGTGAATCTAAATGGATTTTTCTAACTCATGGTGTTCCAATTTTATACGACAAAGTGCATTTTATGCATACGAAACTTATGGTCTTGCGACTCGTACGACAGTTAGACTTTCAACAATTTCTTTACGTCTAGACTTTTACAATATAAAAATGATCTTGGAACGCGACGTAACAATTTTAATGGTGCCACAGAGTCACCACTCGAGTGCAAAGGGTTAGAGATCAGAATTGTTACTTTTACAAGCTTTTTAGCTATTTTATGTCTTATTTTTAGCTTTTTATGAGCTATTTTATGTCTTATTGTTACCTTTATAAGCTAATATAAAACAGCTGTTTTTCCTGCTCCGTGAATCTAGTCGTTAGCGTCGGATCTCGCGAATTCGGACGAACTTGTTTTCCGATCGCGAAATCGATTTCCGTTTGATCCGGCTTGCGCAAATCGAAGATCCCGCCGCGACCGCAACTTCCGAAGCCCGGGGAAACTTGAATCGGATCACGAAAGATTCGGAAGAAGATCGCGGAAGAAGTTTCGGAATCTTACGGAATCCGGAAGTTTTCAAATTTGCGCAAACTCGGTCGTCGTAGAATTCGGTTTGACGTGGCCGCGGGCTTAGAATTCTGTGTCCGCGGTGCCGGGGACCGTCGAATCTCGGCCGAACGGATTCCCGGAATCGCAGAAACACACACACACACGCACACGCACACACACACACGCACACACACAGATCAGCCCGCCGCGCCCCGGGAATTTGAGAATCAGGGCCGATTAGATCCCGCGAGCCTTAGAATTTGGTTTGATCTTGTTTGCGGAATCCCCGAATTCGATTTCCCGTGACGTGCGCCACGGAGTTTGATTAAATTTCCCGAGTTCCCGAAGTGTCTTAGCCACGTTTCCCCGTGGTTCCCACCAACTCCCGGCGTCCCTTACCGAGCCGCAGACATCGTCAGAATTTTTATTTCCCTCCCGTCACACCGTCACATCGTCGAGCGTCCTTTCCGCTTCGATCATCCCCTCGAAAGCTCTCGTTCGCTCGAGCGCGAAAGCGCGAGCGTCGTGCTGTTCGCAACGTCCAAGTATTTATATCTTCGTAGGCATACAAAACGAACAAATGAGCTTAATGTAACATACTTCGATAATAGTGGAATCAAAAAACATATGATAGTGGGCCTTAAATACGCACGAGAGCCTGTTTACAAAAGGGAAAGAACAACACAAAGAGGTAAAGAGAAAATTCGTGTGTCGGCCTGTGTACACGTGTCTCTCTCTTTCTGTGTATATATATATATATGTGTATATGTGTGTGTATACGTGTATGTATGTCTCTGTGTGCCTTCGTTCATGTTCGCCTGCGTGTATGTGCGTTTGACACTCTGCATACCGTGAGACAAAGAACAGCATTGTAAGGTACTATGAGTAGCGAATTAACAGTAAAACGTGTGCGTGTGCGTGTATATATAATACATCGATTAATATGTATGTATTATCATACAACCACATGGCACGTCGCATGGTAATCGGACAGCTCTATCTACGAACCCTTTTGTTCTCTGTTCGATCTCGGCGATCTAGGACTAAACGGTCGATACGGTAACCGATAGGTGATAGGCAATCACAAGTGTTCCATGACAAACAAGCGCCGTGGCGCCTCGGTGACAAAGATTAGGCGAGTTCGCTTAACGCCGGACATCAGAGCATTCTATCGAACGTGAAGATTATTCCGCTCCGAATTGAGCGAGCCAAAATGGTATGGTAACCTAATCGGCAGATCGAAGATCTCGATGCAAAGATTCGAATCGAGTAGCGGGATAACGAGTTCTTTGTTCAACGATTTTTTTATGTTCGAAACGCATACGGTAATGTCTCTCTAATGGACGCTCAGATTGTCCAGAAAAGTGGTCAATTTTGGAAGAGGAGATACGATTGTTATGGTTAATATAATATATAATACATAATATATATTATATAATATATAATACGTAATATATATTATATAATATATAATATATAATACGATATAATACGATGTAATATATAATATATAATACGATTGTTAAGGCTCGTTTGTTATGGTTATCGATTGTCAACAAGAAAAAAAAGGAGCTGCAAGTCTCGAATAATCGTATCTCCTCTTGCCAAATTGTCCATTTTTGTGCACAATCTGGGCGACAATTAGAGAGACATTACTGTATCTCGTAAAATTCAATAAAAATCCTTCTACCGTTTTAAATTTCCACCGCTCACATTTTATTGTTTGCCCGTGGAAACCGCAGTCCGCTAATGAGACACGACAAACAAACGAAACGAAAACAATTAAACAATTAAACGACTAAACAATTAAACAAGCGCGGCCGCTGAAGAAATTTCACGTGTAACATTGTAAAAACTGGCCCGGGAATTATGCGAATAACGTATCTGGAAAAAGAATGTGCGTTGGTTTCCCTGCTCGTGACAATGCTCCTGGATCGTCACGACGCTTGGCTATCGGATGAAATAATTTCTGATATTCGTGGTCGGATAAATTTTCACCGAGATCGTTGTCGATTCGTTTCGGTCGCGCGACGCACGTTCGGCATTGTTAACATATTATACAAAGAGACAAGGTACCGAAAAACCACGGTTCGAAGAAGTGTCACGTGTCCGGTGATAGGAGAACTCGGGTGGAGAGGGGGAGGGGGGCGCTAACTCTAAACAAAAGATCTATTCTCGTTCGATCTGGGATTGTGTCGCAAAACAATTTTTGGTTTCTCTCTATCCGTTATCTGCGGTGTTATCGGCCCGTTCTCTCTGATCGTTCTCTCTATACTTCGGATCTATCAATTTACAAAAGTATTTATAATACATACAGATTGTATACAGTGAAACGAACACTCTATGTACAATAACGTCTCTCTAACTGACGCTCAGATTCTGCAGAAAAATGGACAATTTGGGAAGAGGAGATACGATTGTTCGAGCCTTGCAGCTCGTTTTTATAATTGTTGAAAATCGGTGACTATAAAAACGAGTCGCAAGGCTCGAATTCGCAAGGCTCGAAATTGCAAGGCTCCTCCTTCCCAAATTGTTCATTTTTCTGCAGAATCTGAGCGTCAGTTAGGGAAATATTATTCGATTATTCGAGCCTTGCGGCTCGTTTTTATAATTGTTGACAATTCGTAATTATAAAAAGAAACCGCAAGGCTCGAATAATCGTATCTCCTATTTCCAAATTGTCCATTTTTGTGGACAATCTGAGCGTCAGTTAGAGAGACATTATTCGATTATTCGAGCCTTACGGCTCGTTTTTATAATTGTTCACAATTCGTAATTATAAAAAGAAACCGCAAGGCTCGAATAATCGTATCTCCTATTTCCAAATTGTCCATTTTTGTGGACAATCTGAGCGTCAATTAGGGAGACATTATTCGATTACTCGAGCCTGCAGCTCGTTTTTATAATTGTTGACAATTCGTAATTATAAAAAGAAACCGCAAGGCTCGAATAATCGTATCTCCTCTTCTCAAATTGTCCATTTTCGTGGACAATCTGAGCGTCAGTTAGAGAGACATTATTCGATTATTCGAGCCTTACGGCTCGTTTTTATAATTGTTCACAATCCATAACTATAAAAAGAAACCGCAAGGCTCGAACAATCGTATCTCCTCTTCTCAAATTATCCATTTTTGTGGACAATCTGAGCGTCAATTAGAGAGATATTACTGTACTTTCTGTGTCTGTACGGGCGTGCCTGTTGTACGTATCTTCTGTTCTGCGTGTATGCGTGTGTTTGATGTGTGTGTTGGTGTGTATGTTGTACGTGTACGGTGTGTGCGTGGTATAGAATATGTGTGTCTGTGAGATTTCGGGGCATTAGATATTAAACTTACCATAGTAACGTCATCTATTTTTGAGATACTTCGAACAAATATGTTGACGCGGACAATCGCGGGCCCATCTAACATAGCAAACAGAATAAACATAATTGATTAATCGTTTAGCAAACATGAGACGTATCGAGAGTGGTTTTTGTGTTGTGAGAAAAAGAATGAAACGCTCTTCCCGTGTTTCGGTGTTTCTTTTTCGCAGTTTTTTTCCCACTCCTTTCTTTCTTTTCGTTCGACAAGAAAAAAAAATAAAAAAAAACGAAGAAGAAGAAAAGAAAAAACAGACCGGCGAGATTGCGGGAGAAGACAATTGGTTCTGTTTCCCCGTCTTATTATTATCATCGTTCGGCTCTCTCCCTGTTCGCGGAGTCACCGTCGTCGACGAGCGTGCCTCTCCGGGTTCGCTCGACGTTTCCGTCTTTGGCGAACGTCGTCGCCGACTCTCGTCGCCCTTTTCTTCGATCGCCGTCGTGTAACCTGTCTCGTTGGCGATTCGTCGCTGGAGAAGCGACGATGCGTGAGAGCAACGTCGAAAAGAAACGAAATCGTCGGCGATCGAACCCCGATCGAAAACAGAGACGCGCGTGGAAATTCGACGTTCGATCGTCGGATGGTCTTCCGGTGCTGTTCGACGAAGATCCGTCGACAAATTCGGAATTAGCACGCACACATTCCCGTCGCAGCGGCCGTTTTTCATCGAGTTGCGGGGTTCGCTGTTCGTTTCTTTCGTGCGCTGCGCGCCGCTCTGCGACGCTCGTTTTCAATTGATCGCAATCAAATGCGTCGCACGTGTTCAAGTTATGGTCGTTCGATGGTCAGTTATCCTCTGTTCTCGGAAGCAAAAACACGCTGCAATTTACAAGACGCGTTCGAAAACGTTCGACTAATCAATTTACGTCGTCATTTCGCCCGAATTCGCGCTCGTGTCGCGCGCGGAAATGGACAATTTCGGAAGAGGTTCGCCCCGTTTTCATAGTTGTTTGAGAACCGGTGGCTATAAAAACGAGGCGCGAGGCTCGAACGATCGTATCTTCTCTTCCGTAAATCGTTCGTTTTCGCGCGCGATCCGAGCGCGAATTAGGGAGAAATTACAGAATTCCGGGAATCGGCCCGCCGAATGAAACGCGTTCCCATCGGGCGACGCGTCCCGGACACTTCTCCCGATCATAAACACTCGTGTATGCAGATCGCGGATGAATATAAAAGATCCGATGCATTTTAACCAGCGAACATGCGCCGATGCCGCGGGCGGGCTCCGTGCAACTGCAAATATCGCGGGGCGGAACCGCGCGCCTAATGTATGCGACTGCAAATATTGCGGCGCCGGTGCATCCATCGTTTATTTTATGCAACTGCACACGTTGCGCCGAGCGAGCGGGGGATGTTTGTCCGAGCACGCCGAGGAAAAAGAAGAAGAAGGAAGAAGAGAACGACGACGAAGCGCGAATTTAAAGGTGTACTTCGTTCGGTTCTTTCGTAATTGACTCGTTTTTGCTCGGCCGCGCGGGCCGAGCTCGAGGAGACAGAACGTAATGGCGTTTCAATGATGCATCGACTCGTCCGCGAAATTCGTGCGCGCAGCTACGACTTCCCCCCGCTCGTAATTAAAACGGGATCGATCATTTTTCACTCGTGTCGGTCGTATCGGGATTCGCGAAATATCTTAACTTTCGGCACCGCGAATTCGACGACGCCCGAAGCGTTATATTTTTTCAGCGAATTTATTTGTCGACCCTCTAACCGTAATATTTCATTAACCCTTTACACCCGAGTGGTGACTCCGAATAGATTCAAACTGTTGTATCGCGTTCCGAGATAATTTTTATATCGTCAAAGTTTAGATTTCAAAAATTGTTAAATCTGTGATACGAGTCACAAAGCTCGATTTCATACGATCGTAAAATGCATTTTGTCGCGTAAAATAGAGATGCTATAAGTCGGGCAAATTGTTTGAATTATATACAGTTAACGTGGCTCTCGCGTGCAGCGGGTTAAAAAAAAAGAAGAAGAAAAGACGAAGAGCCCGCGGGCATAAAGCGGCCGGTAAACGGATTCTGTTTAGCATAATCGAGAGAAGTCTCGAGCATCAACAACGTTTCCAGAATGTTCGCCGGCTTGCCGAAGAAAAAGGGAAACCAAGAAGCAACGTAATTATCGTAATCAATTTTAGGTGAAGCGAGTACACGCCGCGCGACGAGCTTCGCCCGTAATTGCTTCACTTCCGGTGGGAAGAAGCTTCGTACACATTGAACAAGCAGACCGTGTAACGTGACTCGTCGTCGTTAACGTTCTTTTTTCGACCCGCGCTGTTTTGTGTTTAATTAATGTGAAACGACGCTACCGCGGGTTTGACGCTAATTAACCGTGAGCCGGGCGCGCTTCTTTTTCCGCGTCTTCGACTCGCGCCGCGTGATTCGAACGTCGCGATTTCACGCGGAATGCGACCCCCGACGACGCCGGTGGATCAATCTGGACGTACGCGGAAAATTTCTATAGCAATTGCTCGATTATTTGGCTCGTTTAGGAGCCGATTGTCCGACCGGTGCCGGACGTTTCTACTCGCGTTAAGTAAACGTCGTTAGCGACGATTTAATTGCGAGCTTCTGCGGAGCGGCCGAATTGTGGAGAATTTTAACTGTAAGTAGAAACTGCCGGCTATGGTCGGACACGGTACAACGTTCCAAGAAAGATCTTTCTGGTTGAAATTTAAAGATTGAACCATCGATGCATTTCAATCGCAAATTCATACGATCTCGAATACCGTCCAGTCTCACCACCGGTTCGATCAATTATTCGTCAAGAACTGTTTCGACCTTTAACCCTGCCATGATACCTTGAACCCCAGCAAAATTTTCTGTGATATTCGCTGCGCTCCATCGCAAGACAATCGAATCGAAATACGAACTTTCCGTGTACAAGATATTGGATCGAGTCATAGATGATCCCCGTTTCTTTATCGGACGTTTATTACTTCTTTTACTTTATTTTCGTGTGCTTTTTATTTTATTTAGCTAAGCTGCGTCGGAAGTTATTTATGACTCGAGCCACAATGCTTTGTTTAGGAAGATAAGTCTGACGAAGCCGAGGTACCATTTCAGGGCCGATTTCAGAGTCGAAATAATATAGAGACATCGCGCGCGCGTCGCGACTTGCAATCCCGAAAACTCGCGCGGCGAGAAGCGTACCCGATCGAAAGACTCGCTGTGATCTATATTAGCTAATAGCAGGCTGAAACGAGCCAGGCGTATCGTCCTGAGCCATACAGAGTGTCTGCGTACCATTCCGCCCTACATGAATCAGGACAAGACGTCGGACACGTTGCTCCCGTCAACGTTGTCGCCCGTCAACCGTATCCTCGTCGTACACGCGCGTCGTATAGCTTAACTCGCGCCCGTCGTTTTTTTCTTTTCTTTCTTTTTTTTCTTCACGCGACAGCGGTACTTTCCGCGGCGAACAAAACGAAGAATCCTCTCTATACGAGCAGTGCACGAGAGCGAGCCGAGGCTGACGCGTTCAACAACGACAACGAATCAAATGCAATTCACGCGAATGAATATTCAAAGTGCCATCCCGTATGCATGATTCTCTTCACCTCTTTTCTTTGACGAGTATATATACCAAGGAACCTACTCGACGACGTCGCCGCGATACTAAAATACGAAAAGACGACGGTGAGAGCGACGCATCGAAATGAGGAATCGTTCTCTTGGTTTATTTTCATCGCGACACAGTGTTCTCCCCCCGTTTTGCGGCGCCTTTGCTTCGCGGGAACGGGCTTTTTTTTATCGACGAGACGCTGTCGGCTGAAGTCGAGCAACCCACGTACAGTAAATTCTCCCGAATTATCCCTCAGCTTGTAGACGAAAGTGGACAATTCGGGAAAGATACGATTATACGAGGCTCGGTTTTTACAGTTGTCGATTTGTCAAGAATTATGGAAGCGAAGTACGGTAATGTCTCCCTAATGGCCGCTGAGATTAGGCACAGAAATGGACAATTTGGGAAGAGAAGGTACGATTATCCGAGACTTGCAGCTCGTTTTTATACTTGTTGAGAATCGATAACCATAAAAAACGAGCCACAAGGCTCGAACAATCGTGTCTCCTCTTCCCAAATTGCCCATTTTTATGGACAATCTGAGCGTCAGTAATCAATTACTGTACAGTAATGTCTCCCTAACTGACGCTTTTGTGCACTGACGTGCACAAAAATGGACAATTTGGGGAGAAGAGAAGCGATTATTTGAGCGTTGCACTTCGTTTTTATAATCGTTGACAATTCGAAACTATAGAAACGAACCGCGTGGCTCGAACAATCGTATCTCCTCTTCCCAAATTGTCTATTTTTGAGGACAATCTGAGCGTCAATTAGAGAGACATTACTGTACAAGGCTCGGGTACAGTAAATTTTCTCCAATTGTCGCTCAACGTGTAAACAAGAATGGATAATTTGAGAAGAGGAGACACGATAAATCGAGCCTCGTTTTTATAGTCGCCGATTGTCAACAACTATAAAAATAACAAGCCGCGAGTCTAAAATTGTCCATTTCTGTTCACACGTTGAGCGACAATTGGAGATAATTTACTGTAATCTTCTTCCGAAAAATTGTCCATTTTCGTTCACAAGCTGAACGAAAAATTTGAAGAATTTACTGTACGGTGATACGAAAACGATAGATTGGAGTGGACTGCGGATTTTACGCGTTCACATAAAGATAATAATAATAATAATAAAGTCATAAAGATATTATATTATTATATTATCATATTACGATATAATAATAAATACGTTAAAAGAACTCGACGACATTCACGCGGTCTCCCACGTTCTCCTCTAATTCGTATTCAGCATAAAGATCCGCAGTCCGATGAACAGAATCTCCTAATTAGACGTCAGATCATTAGTCGCGATATCGTTGATCTATCGTTGGTAAACAACTTGCTTCTGTCCTGCGCCGATAATCTTCGGATCGACCGGCCGTGCCGCATCGAGCCGGGCCCACCGGCCGTCCCTAACCAGCTTTGGCCAGGTTAAACTGGGCTCGGCATTTAGGCCGAGCAAATTAAATTGG